GGGCGGCTGCACCTGCAACCGGCTACGCGTCATTTGCGCCTAAGCCCGTGTGTCGTAATACATGCCTCCATTGCTCCCAACGGCCTTGGTGCAACCCCTCGCGTCTCGTCTTGGCCATGCCTGCTTTCCCCACTTCATCTCCTTCGCTGTCGCTGGCGAGGCGTCAAAGTTCCGCTGGGGGGGGGTCGTTGCGTCCGCGCTGTTTCCAACTCACATCGTCGCGTCGGCTGTCTCTTGTTCGACAGGCATCTGTCGTCACCTCAGTCCCCACATTCTTTGCCTCCTGCCCGCCCACCTCCATCTTCTGTACTTTCTTCATCGTCTGCATCTGCGGCCGTTTGGCGGTGGTCCAACCCGGTTTGGCCTCGTCCAGCTTCCACATCTGGAGTCCGCCCTCGGGCACCGTCCTTATACCCTTCGGCGTCCCTCTTCGTCGTCCTGGATCCATCTCAGCGAACCCGTCTTCTAGGACGAAGGTACGGGCCCGTCAAGCCGGCCTAACTTCCACATCTTCGGGCGGTAAAAGTTACTCTACACCCAGGTGTTTGGTCGTCAGGGCCGATGGTTTGGACGCGCATTGTCGTAGGCCGTTTTCTGCATTCCGCCGCACGGACGAGGTTCTTTCGCTTTCGCTCATAGGGCCCAGGGTGGCGCGCGCATACCGCCACTTCACGGTACTCGTTGGGCACTGCGCGGATGTCCTCTGCCTGTAATCCTCCACTACCTCACGTGGCCGTCACATCGACACCCACGTATTCTGCCCGCCTGCGCGTGCTTCCCGCCCGCCGCCGTAAGCTGAACCACGCTGTGCTACAGGGCGCGTCTGCGTCTCTGTCCAGTTGAGCGAGATCCGTCTTTGAGGTCACCTCACTGTCGGCCTTGATGAAGTCGCGCTCTTACCCGTGCTCTGCTTGCGACGAGATGGTTGCCTCGCTCGCCTTCCCGGGGGTCCTCTGCTTCTCTCGCAGCAAGCAGCTCCCTCTCTGCCTCGCGAGTCTCGCTAACAGCGACCCTCTATTGCGCCGCCCCTTCTCGCGACGGAGAGATCTTCTCCCTGATTGGCAGCTGCTCCCTCCAGCGTGCTCCCCGCGGCCTTCCCTCTTCGCTCAGCTCTTTCTGCAGGTCCGGACAGCGAGTGCTCCTTCTCACTCAGCTCCTTCTGCAGCCGGACAGCGATGGCTTCCTTCCGCTCAATACTTCTTTCTGCAGCCGGACAGCGAGTCTTCCTTCTCACTATTCAAGCTCCTTCCTGCAGCCGGACAGCGAGGCTTCCTTCTCACTCAGCTTCTTCTGCAGCCGACAGCGAGGCTTCTTTTCACTCAACGCTTCTTCCTGCAGGCTCGCGGACACGAGGCTTCCTTTTCGGTTCAGCTCACTTTCTCTAGAAGACAGGTGCTCGAGAACCTCCTGCATGTCGCGCAGCGTTGGCTTCCGACGGTCGCCGCGACCGTGTGGCACCACCCATCAGCCGATTCGCCGCACTTGACAATGGATTGATCGCGTCTCATAATTAACTAGGTCGTGAGGGAGCGAGGTGGTGGACGTGAGGCTCTCTGCATCCGAAACTGCCTTCCGCGTTCACTCATTGCTGTCACCTACCTCTTACGCTTCCTTGCCTTTCTTCTTATGCCGCTTCTGAAACTTCGCCAGCAGCTCACGACACTGGCTGCCAACTTTTCGTTTTCGCTCCTCGTGGTCCCATCTCTAAGCCACTCCTCCCTCTGAAAACTTCGCCAGCTAGCTCACGACCCCCCGGCTGCCAAACTTTCGGTTTTCGCTCCTTACTGTCCCATCTCTAACAACTCTCCTCTAAACTCACGGACAGCAAGCTCGACGACCGGCTGCCAACTTTCGTTTCGCTCCTGCGTGTTCCATCTCTAACGACTCTCCCTCTGAAACTTTACCAGCAAGCTCATGATCCGGCTGCCACTTCCGTTTTCGCCTTTCTCATGTTCCATCTCTAACACTCTCCTCTAAACTTCGTGCCAGCAGCTCACGACCGGCTCCAACTTTTCGTTTCACGGCTCCGCTCGTCCCCACATCTCTAACACTGGTCCTGCGGAAACTTCGCCATATCTTTCTTCTCTCCCCCTCCATTGCTGCGCGGAGCCGATGGCGTCTGGTTGGTCCTCTATCCAACGCAACGCTGCATCTCCAAACTCGGCCCCGACCGTTCTGGGTGTCGTTCGTTCGTCTCGCCATCACGTCGCAACCTGTTTTGTCACTAGCACCAATGTAACGGTTTTTCTCTCTCTCTTCCAATCGCCTTAATTAACCGCGTTTGACTACTACCGCTTGTTTTGTTTATTTTTTTCTTGGCCGTGTATAAGTAATGGTTGCACTGTTGTCGCCGCGCGACGAGCCCTGACAAGGGCCGTACTCCCCGTCTTTACCGATTCGATCACTAGGTACCGCGACGAGGCTCAGAGGCAGTTCAAACACCCGAGCGCCGAGAAAGGGGGGGGGGGGTTCCGGCCGTCGCAGTGAGATAGATACGTGAAGGGGGGCGGTAAACAAAGTGAGATACGGATGGGGGGGTGTCGTCACCGAAGGATAGTGAGAAGTAGGCAGTAATCAAGTGGAACTTAGAAAGTGGTCTTAATTTACTAGATACGCCATTGCTTTATCCTCTTGCGTCACACATCTACCACATTCGGCGACAGCCGCACGTGTCCGTCTGTATCCGTCGCGCGCGAGAAGTTCGACGCGAAGAACCCTCACGCCACCGTAACACGCGAACTTAACATTATTAGCGTGTATTTAAACACCCAGTGCCTATACACCACAAATAGCGTTCTAGCAATATACTACACAATTAGACTGTCTAACGAGGGGTTCACTTTCGGTGGCCCCCTGGTGTACAAAATATGTGGAAGGCTGATTCGCTTCGCGGGAGAATGTAAATTCGTTGGGGAAAAAACCCGCAATGGGTCACGTTTACTTAATTACAGCAACCAGCTACAGCTACGGTATAGCTACAGCATACAGCTACATCTACGGTATGGCTACAGCATACAGCTAGCGGTACTAGCTACTGCATAAAGCTACAGCGACGAGTACTGGCTACAGCATAGCCAGCTACACAGCTAACGGTACTAGCTACAGCATATCAGCTATCGCATACAGACTACAGCTACAAGCATACAGCTTAACGTACAGCATACAGCTACAGCTGACAGCTACGGTACCTAGCTACAGCAATACAGCTGACAGCTACGGTCAATAGCTACACCTGAATACTAAAGTAGCGTAATCAACTACGAACTGAATCGTATTGACATATTTCAAACGCGCTGTACACCTGTAACCGTACCCGATTTAATCTCTACACTAGGCTAGCAGGCGTAGGCAGTATACGTTCCGTCACCAGATATCTACTCACATTACCCACCATCCTACGTAGGTAGATCTACTACTAGTACGCGCCTGTGTTAATATCGGACGCCTTCCAGAAACATCAACTGCAACGCCATTAACTCTAACGGCGTATCTCCTTCTATCGCGCCGTTTTCTCTAGTATTGTTCCACTTCTCTGGAACCGTCCTCGCGGCTAGCGCATCTCCCGTGAAATAACTGGCACATCGATGCACCGATTGAAAAGCGAATCTGCTTACACCATGAAAAAGTCCGCAAGTCTGGCGCTAGGCTTTATACAAGAACCGCGTGCCCGCGATGTTCATGGACAACTGAATAGAACTGTCACGAGTGTCGTTTCGGCACCGTCAAAGCAAGTTAATCTATTTATAGTTTATCTGAACCTAAGGGTCCGTGTTACGCGTGTGAAAAGCAGAGAAGATGCAATGCCACCCAGTCGTGCACAGAATTACAAACTTTCGGCATATAGTAAATTTGATCTAGAATTGAAATAAAATTCGGTCGTGACTAACTGACTCTCACGATCGTCATACGTCGAGTGCGAACAAGTCAATCTATTATAGCTATCTAACCAAAAGATCCGTGTTTACGGTGTGAAAAACAGAGAAGAAGAGATGCACCAAAGCGTGCACAGAATTAAACACCTTCGTCTCAAGAATTTTCCAGAAATTGGGTATATACAGAAGGCGGCGGAACGTGCTGACGTTTTCGTATCCTGATTTCATATTTTCCCCACGAGTGTCGGCAAATTTACACCTTGACGATCGTCCTGATTTTGTTTGCCTTTCTCTGACGGTATTTATTTCATCCGTGTGTGTGTATGTTGTGTGTGTGTGTGTGTTGTGTGTTGTGGTGTCGTTGTGTATGTGTTGTGCTGTGTGTGTGTGTGTGTGTGTGTGTGTGTGTGTGTGTGCGTGCGTGTGTGCATGCGCGTGTGTGTGTGCGTGGTGTAGGCGTAGTTGCGTGCGCGCACATGTGCCTGTACGGTTTTCACATGTAATGCGCTCTAGTCAATGTGTATGCAGTACGTAAGCCTATATATGTATCTACAACCAACGTAAGTAAGCACGTTAATTTTTTGACACAATATCAAGAGACAACAATATACACGCTTCATATTTTATTAAAAGACGCACACGGGGTCAAAACCGAGCAATGGCGCATTAATCATTTTATTTAATAATAATTAATAATGGCGTAGTAATTTTACGTGTGCAGACGTGCGCGGTTAATTCTTGTTTTGCACTCGCGTTTATTATATTATATTCCTCGTGACAAGGTATAAGCAAGCCCGCACTAGCTGTTACTCGTGCAGTGAGGGTTATAAAATATTACTGCCTCAAGCGACGGACCTCGAGCGACACGTGCACATGGCAGCTAATTGCCACCGTTAGCTAGGATTCTAGAACTCGAAGACAAACGAATTCTAGGGCGACATTGGGTTAACCGGTTTGAGCATCACCGCGCGCGTTTTAATCCGGGTTTGTAAATATTTAGAACTTATCAGTTAAATCCGGGACGTGTATTACGTCATCCCAGGTCCGCATCACGCGCCCCCACCCCATTATGTATCAAGAGTAGATAATAGGAGATCCTATTATCTACTCTTGATATGTATATATAAGCTGCATGATGCGTCCTACATCCACACCTGTGCCCTAGGTGTTCGTGTACGTGGGACTCTAATATTAGTGGTTACCATATGATCAGCCGTACGCAAATAATCTTTTGATTTCAGACACTCAGGAAGACAGCAGCGTTATTCGTGGAGACACCCAGAGCAGGAGGAGGAGGAGAACTCAATTTTAAGAACTAATGGGTAAAAATAAGAACCGTATGTTAGCGTTTTCGTTTGCCTTCATGCGCGTCAAACCCCACCTACCTCGAGTCGTAATCTGTGTATCTTTTACAAGGCAGTAAATGTTATTTTAAATAGAGTAAATGTTTATTTATAACGAGACGCTGATCAGCGATTGAAAGTCGGGAATGAACCAGAAGGATGCCTTGTCCCCAGCTTATTTTTTAGATGTTTTTTTGCGCGTGTAGTTTAAACGTGTGTAGAATGTCGGACAGCGCTGAACACAGACTAGACCGCAATGCCAAGTTTGTCGTATATATTAATACGCAGGCGACCACCCGAATTGAGCATCAAAATCTACCTGAAATATATAACTATCTACTAATACTGATATATAACTAACTATATACTGATATATAACTAACTATATACTGATGTATAACTAACTATATACTGATCTATAACTAACTATATACTGATGTATAACTAACTATATACTGATCTATAACTAACTATATACTGATATATAACTAACTATGTACTGATATATAACTAACTATATACTGCTATATAACTAACTATGTACTGATGTATAACTAACTATATACTGATGTATAACTAACTATATACTGCTATATAACTAACTCTATACTGCTATATAACTAAATATATACTGCTATATAACTAACTATGTACTGATCTATAACTGACTATATACTGATGTATAACTAACTATATACTGATGTATAACTAACTATATACTGATGTATAACTAACTATATACTGCTATATAACTAACTATATACTGATCTATAACTGAGTGCTATTTCCCGACAGGTACCTATACAG